TTTGAGAATAGTACGAAAAGGCACGGGTTCCGAATCGAGTCACGAGTCACTGAGCCATTGAGCGTTGTCACGATTGAGTACATCTAGGGACTCTCCCGTTATTTGGGTCGATGACCTTATAAAGCGTCCGGAACAGATTGGAGGAATGACGGATGCTTCAATGTGCATTGTACGCATTACGTCATAATTTGATATTGGTAAATCCCCATAGAGATAGGCACTAGACTATAATAAAATACGTTTTTTGAGCAAGTTAATGTTATTTTGAACAATTTTTCCGCAGTTGGTAGTTAATCAACTATTGAGTTTGGATGTCCACCGCTTATATCAGTCACCCCTATTAAAATATAGGTTTAATTACTATGAATTCGTTACCCATGGAGTACTCGATTCATGAATAAAAAAGTTATAGGTATGACAATGATAATAATGACTAAAAAAAACATCCTTTTAAATCTACCTACTAAATTACGTGCCGAAAATAAGGATTAAACATTTTTTACCTTAAAGTCGGACATATTTCTCAAGCAGTTATTGTAGACGTCTCTAACTGAATTGAACATTCTGTCTGGATGATCGAATCTGCCATTTTGTAAGCACAGCATGTATTTTGGGTATTTTCGAACCTGAAATTCAAAATAAAAATAGTGAATAAATAATCTAGTAAGATATGTAAAATGTTTAATTAGAATGAAAACATATACATACTTTCTAACTTTAACAAAAAAATAGTGTCACAAATAAAAAACTAAGTATTTAATAGTGTAATCATTAAAAATAATCTAATTAGTACAACAGTTCTCAATTGAACTGAATTTCGACACCATAAAAACACAAACATTTCCTTGTAGTTTTAACTAGCCAGTAGCTTTGTTATCAACTACTAATATCGAAAAAAAAATCGATACACGGAAATAACAATGGCGATAATCATGTAATTAGTTATGTAAAAGCAAAAAACATGAAAATTCTTCTACTAATGTTATGTAATCTTTTTGTACAAAGTAAATGACCATGACTTTTTTTAATCAGTTCAAGTTGACTGAACAGACTTGAACCATTTAATTAATGTCTAGGGGAAAACCCAACCTTGTTAGGCAAACCATAATAGTTATCAAAATACAATACAATACTAATTCAAAAGAAATAACTCTATTGTCTCACATTTTCAATGACACAATTTTTCTAAAATGCACTCATTTTACTTAAATACTAATGTTACAATTGCGTAAAGAATTAATGAAGGGCCATTTATATACTTACTAAATAAAACAAAACAAGACCTGGAGCTGAATAATGAGATCCATACAAGAATTTTGGTTCACTCATTTCATGGTACCTTTCTTTGAGTTTCTCCAATCTATCTGGATTTAGAGCTCCCATTGGTTTTGATAAATCTCTAAATGTATCTGGATTATTTAGGTCTAAAGTTTCTGAAGTGTAATCTGCAACTACCCAAGGGAATACTGGATACTGTGTGAGATCATTTTTACTCCTATCTGCAAGGCTAGAAGTGAATTGAAAATTATTAATGATACAACAGTTGTTGTTGTTATTACAGCCATACAACAACAATAAAAAATAATGTTTACTCTGTGGCCAAATAACAAAGTATGTAGTCAGTGCTCCAAAGACTGCTTCTGAAATACAAATCAATGAATCAGTTGTCTAATTCTACATAAAATATTGTGATTGAATTTTCATTTGGTTTTTTTTCTGTTTTCCTACCATAATTTTATCCAGTCACAACATTTCACATGAATTTGACAACAGGGAATTTGTGTATAAAACAAATATCAAGTTCTTACCAATTCAAATACATTAGATAATCATAGTTGGAAACAATTCCATTCTGCCATTGGAGTGTCATTTCTTCTGTGTGAACTTTCTCTAGCTGCACATTAGGTGATTCTTCCAAAATCTTGTATATTCTATCTCTATCTCTTTCTGATTGGAATGTAACATAAATGTGAGGAACTGAGCTCTCCTCTACACTGTAAATTTCTAGACCCTGAAACAAGTATAAAAATAATATGTTTTGTGTTATGGGATCAATTTAACATTATTTGCTATTAGCAACTTATTTACCAGCAAACATTTTACTTAATACCACAAATAGTATAAGTGCTAAAAAATTAAGTCAACAAAAGCTTATTTTCATATTAAGTACTGCAAATAAATAAGTACATAAAACAGATACATACAACTTGCCTTAGTAAAAATCTTCTTTTGTACATCCTTCTCAAATGGCTCAGTTTTAACTTGAGGATAGGGCTCTGAAATTTAAATGTTCATGTAACTTTTATAATATTTTCTTTACTCCATATATTATACTAACAATGCAACCAAATAAATTGTTTTTATAACAAAGAGCTATTGTTAGGTAAATATACATAGCTGATAATGGTATCAAAGTCAACAGTAGTGAAAAACACATGTTAGCAGTTATACATGCTATAAGTACCTTTGGTAGGTCCTATTAGATAAGTCTAATGTATTGCTAATCTCATATAAAATTTACTATACTACTATCTACTATCACACATTTTTCCTTGTCTAATTTTTTCATTTAAAATTTGTATGAATCACCACTACTATTTGATTCATGAACTGATATGTTAACAGATACATATTTATCTTATTAAAAATATTTAATATGGTCTATTAATAGAAATGACAATAATTAATTGGATTATACACTTACACCTTCTACATTACTGAAAGGCTGGAAATAAATAGTAGTTGGAGTTAATGCTAGCTTGCCCTGATGTCTCACAAGAGGAGATATCTTCTCAGCTTGCAGCTCACACACAATTTGTTCAGTAAAATCATCCATCATGACAGGATCAAACTCCATCCTCATATACCTTGAGTGGAGGATTGTGGCTATCATACTGTTGTGCTCCGGAGCATGTAAAGTAGATGCCCTCTTTAGCTGCTGCATCTGGCTCAAACATTCATCAGCTGATGCAAAATCAAAGAACACATAAAAATCTCTGTCTTCATAAATAAATTTATATGGAGCCAGAATATTCTCCTCCAGCATCTCAGCATACATCTTCATCCTCACTCTAATTACATTATTCTCATTTAATTGGTTAACTACTGTGATGTCAGCACAATCTTTGAATTGCATTTTTATAAGAGGGTGTACCCACTCTCTGGGCTCAAAAACCAGAGACTTGGAGCACAGTTTCAGTCGTCCTTGTTTCCCATTTACATTTTTTAACTCATTATCACTTAATGTACAAGAATAATCTTCGAAATAAATTTCACCTGGCTCCAGTAACAACATTGAAAATCTAAAACAAAATAATAGATGTTAAATGGGATTATAATGGACTATGACAAAGGGTCAGCTCAAATCTACAATTTGGACTTTCAAAAGAGAAATTGCTAAACGAGGCAACAATATTATACACATTTTGTGGAAAACGAAAGAGTAAGCAAATAATATGTAATATTTGCGTTCAACCAACACTGTCGTCAGTCTAAAATTTATGACTTTGCCCTACAAAAAATCTTGCAGCTTTGCACTGTGACCGTTACGGAATTGCACAATACCGAATGAGTCATTTCGTTCAGGAGATACTTCAGTAAGCCATGGAAACAAAGATTGCTAGCAAAACAGCATCTTACCTCGACTTATCCATTTCGTCGATGAATCTTATTGGAAATATTCACTTATACCAACGTTATCAAATACGACTTAATTTATTTAGTTTCACATAAATTTAATCGGCAACCGATATACAAACAGAAAAACTTTCACCGTCTTGTTTATTGTTTACCGCTGTGTTTGATTCTAAAATGTTGAAATGTACCAACCAATTCAACCAACCAGTAACTAGTGTCAATTTTGTCAAAGTCAAATAACCTGACATGAACATTGTCAATGTCATGACGCGAAACAGAGTATAAATTCATCTATAGTTTCCCTAAACCCATTATTAATTCCCCTTATTCTCTGAGATAGTGAACTCGATTATCAGATATAGTGTTAATAAAATTCTAATAAAATCTTTAAATATAAATATATTCTTATGTACTATAAATATGAAAGTTTTTAAATATCGATAGATGGGTCTGTCCCTACTAAGACGGAACTGAATTAAAGCCGTAGAATAACACATGTTGTTGAGTTTTAAGCTTAAGCCGTATAGACCACCGCCTGTATCCCTTGGCCTTTTTACTGCTTTGACCGATGAATGTTTCGTAATTAATTATTCTTTCCATTTGTATTCCTATGAACAAACGAGGCATCTCTACATGCAGAGTTTAACCTATTTTTTAGAACAACTTCAATTTGATTGCATTTCAGTAATGTGAATTATACGAATGCAAAGCAAAAGTGAGTAAAATAGGAGAAATAAAAACTTAAAAAGACATGATATTAAATGTGTCCTTGTTGAACTACCTATGTCAAAAGGTTTTAAAGAACGTTTTTACCTGTGGTATCCTTATCTGTGGTATTTACATTCTTTTGTTTTGTTTGATTTGTCAAATGGTGACACAATGACATAGCATTTGATTTGGCGCTTCTTTTCAATTTTATTAAAATTGAATTTTTCATCGATCACAATACTTAAGTCTTTAAGGAAAAGTGGATTTAAAAAGCCATATCAATGTTAAAAATAGGATTATCGAATATGCGAGACGACAGGAATGCAATATTCCAAATGCGTTTTCCTCAAAAACTATGGTACTTACTGCTAAACTTTCGCACTGATGCCATTCTATGGGGAAGTACAGGACGCACAATTTTGTTGAATTATCGCATCCTTCATAATTACTTGCAATGTGATCATTCTATTTTTAAGACAACGAATATCTCAAGCTTTGTGAGACAGCTAAACCTCTATGGGTTTCGAAAGGTCACTTCTCATTTGCAAGATCCTTTGTGTAATTCTAGTAACCCATACATGCATGAGTATGTTCATGACTTTTTCCAATATGGTAAACCAGAATTACTGAGCAAAATAACACGTAAGGCACTCGCAATGAAAAGAAACTTCAAGCCTAAGGTATGAGTGTTTTTTATTAAATGGGTAGCAGTTTATTTTACTTGGAAAAATATAATTTTTTTTGATTACAGAATCTATACACTAATGTTGAGCAATTGCTTTTCTTAACACCCCTTCAAAAGGCCAGGCGAGCCCTGCGCCTGGCCCTGAAGAAAGCAGCTCAAGACTTGTTTGTTCAGAATTCACCAAAACACTTTTGTAATCTTAAGTTTGAATGTGAAGGTGGGTCATACATACATATTTTCGTTATTATTTATAAAAACTGCGAACTATTATTTATAAAAACTGCCAACTATTCTTGACTCTTTGTTTTAGATTCTCAAGATGATTACTGTGAAGATGAAGAAAATATTGAATTTGATTGGTTAATGACTAATGATGCAAGTACAGATAAAGCGCTACCTGAACCAGGTTTATTGTCCTTTCATTTTAATTACCTTTTCATTTCCTTTCCATTCCTCCTTTTGAACCTTTCCTGTCCACAGCTAATGTCCCAGCTCCTCAAAACGAAACCATCATACCTGAAGAGACTACTACATACAGGTAAAAGAATTAAAATACTACTATGTAAGTATTAGATAAGAAATAAATTACTAACTCTTGATCACATGACAGGGACACACCTCAGGATAGCCTGATGAATTTTACTGATGAAACATGCCAACAAAGTGGTGACAACTTCCCAGCACAGTTTCTCAGTATGCCTGATCTTGATCCTGAACCTTCTGGGGACAACTCTGGTGTTGAATTGTTGGCTGTTTTTAATATAGACAATGACACAGACCAAGGAATAGAAAGTAAAATGGAAGTTAAAGAGATTGATCATAATTCACTCAATTGTGTGCTGCCATCAATCAGTAATGATCATATTGATGATGTCTCTATGTCAATGGCTGAAGTAAGTCCTTTACTATGTTACTGCTCAGACATTGTTTTTTGAAGAAAATGTCTAACTAATCTCTCTATTTCAGAAGGACAATGAAAATTCTGATCACTACCATGGTGAATGGGACCAAATGTTCAATGATATGATTACCAGAGGACCCAATCAAGAATGTGGATCCGATTTAAAAGAACTGTATTCTCAAATCTCTAAAACTATTGACTTGCTTAATTCTTAAATTATTTAATAAAAATAAACAACTCTGTAATTTCCTTAAAAACATGTATTAGTTATATAGAAAAGTGTGCAACATAGTAAGATATTACTTCTTTTGTTTCTTCTTCTCAGCTTCCTCTTCCTTTTCTTTCTCTATAATAGACACATATGAGCTGATGGTATCAGAATCCAGCATCTGCATAGGTTGACCACGTCTCATCACTGCTATCTCCAAGTTCTTTTGTCCAGACTGGACCACTTCTAGAAGAGCACGAATAGCTAGCTGGAAATCACAATAAAAATAAATTTAGTAACAAATTATGCATGTAACAGACACAGTGAATTTAAGTAACAACAGCTGACTGTTCCTTACTATCTTCATTTAAAAGACAACTCATTCAAGTATGAATTTGATTCAAGATAATAGTTATTACTATGGTTACATTAATTTTGTTTGACCAATTATTACCCACTTCGGTGGGTACTCGGTCTGGTAATCACTTTTAGTTTCATATCCTTTCTGATCTAAAGATTGATTGAAGAGTGATAGTTATAAATTGCTCTCAAATCCTTAGTGTAACCAAACCAAAATATTACCATTATTAGGTATAATTTTGTAAATTTAATCCAATGCATGAGGTATAGCTTGATAAAATGTAAGTTATGATAAGTTTAATGGGAGAAATGATACATAATATCCCAAGAGAATGCAACACTTACCTTTACAGCACCATTTTCAGTAGCAACTTCATCAGCAGTATAGTTCTTTTCCAAGAATTCTCTAACAGTTTTAGCTGACCTTCCTGTAGCATTAGCCTTCCACTCATAGTAGATACCTGATGGTTCTGTTTGGAAAAGATGGGGATGACCGTCGTAATCAAAACCTCCAATCAAACAAGAAATACCGAAAGGTCGACGTCCATTGCTCTGGGTGTATTTTTGTTTTAGTCCAGCTATATATCTAGTAATGTACTCCAAAGTCACAGGGTCCTCAACCGTCAACTTATGCGATTGGCACTCAATCTGAGCTCTGTTGATGAGGATTCGAGCATCTGCTGTCAAACCAGCAAAAGCCATTACGACATGGTCGTCAAGGAGACAGATCTTTCTCACAGTTCTTTCTTCCTGCAATTTTGCAACTGATTTCTTTTCAACACCTAGTACAACTACATCAGCGCCTCTAACGCCGACCTGAAAAGAAACGATGGGTTTTAATCTCATAGTAAATACATAACATCGGTGACTTGAATGCAGCTAACCAATAACTATAACATACCGCAGTGGATCCTTTGCGAACAGCCTCTTGAGCATATTCTACCTGAAGTAAATGACCATCAGGTGAAAATACTGTGATAGCTCTATCGTATCTCGCAGACATTTTCTTACTTTGTAGAATACAAATATTTTACAAGTCACTCCGTAAACTATTCGTTCGCCGCAAACTGTGTAGGGACGTGAAACTTGACAGGTACAGATAGATGTCGAAGAGATATTTAAAATAAAAAAAAAAATAGAATCTTTACAAGCATTTTCTGTTTTTTATTGGCTTTCTATTCTGTAAATGTAATATTTATTATAACAATGGTTTCAGTCCAAAAAATATCATGGGGTTTAAAGGATAATGTATTTTAGATTACTTAAAAAAGTATCGATATGAAATACATCACTAGCTGGAGCATGACAACGGTGTTTCGATAATAATTCGTTCGGAAATCAATATAATAGAATTTTGTGATACATCTTTATGATTTTTTGAGACGTTAAATAGATATTAACGATTTTGTTTAAGAAACGATGGCTATTAATAAATTTACATCTGTAGAAAATGTCGTGCTAAATAATTATGTACCTATGATGTACCTAATCTGTCTGCTGTCCACTTTTGCACCAAGCGCCAATGTTACCTATAAAAAAATCTAACCAACTTTGAAGGAACCTCAAAAATGTCAAAAACATTTTGAAAATTGAAATTTAAAAAACTCTAGCAATATGGCGACGGCTGCGAGTGAATTTGAGCCATGGCTAAGTGAAAAGTTGAAATCGTTAAAAACTGACGAAGGAGTATTCGGATCCTACATATCAGGTATTTTAGAAAGCGAAGACAGTGTGGATGAAAAGAAAGATGCTTTAGAAGGCATACTTTCTGAGATAGTGGTAAGTCTCTCAGCTTTAACTGGAATAGGATTGCTATGGCTTTATCTCTAATGATTGTTTTTATTACAGGAGAAAGACATTTCAACACATATAGACGAGATAATAGAAAAGTGGGAATCATGTCGACCAAAGGAAGAAAGTCCGAAACCCGTGACAGACGTAGATGTGAGACTAGCTCAGTTGTTAGAATCTCAAGCTCCATCTACAACGACACGACGAGAGTACACCGATGAAGAGAAAAAAATACGTGAAGCTATATTGTCACAATATAGTCAACTTTCTGATAATGAGGTTTGTTCTAGTATAAATAAAAGTTAATAAAGTGTCAAAAGAGGTTATGAGTTTTAAATTAGTGCTAATATTAGGTTTACATCAAAGCATTATTTGTTGTTTCACAGGAAGAAATTGCAAACGATGAAGAAGCTGCTAGTCCTGATCTAGTTAAGAATACAAATGCAGCGGATGTTCATGCTGCTGCGCGTGAACGCCGTGAACAGGCTCGGCTTGATGCCCAAAAAAAGAAAGAAAAAGATAAGGAAGACAGGTAAAAGAATATCTATATTTATTGTTGGTATTACTGGATTATGTTTGTAAAGTGACTGTTTTATTGAAATGATACTCTTAATAATTTTTAATTTGTAAAAATTTTCAGAGAAAAGCAAAAGCAACTGAAGGAGGAGAAAAAAGAAAAGCGGAAGACACAAAAAGGTGAAAGGAAAAGGTAGCAAACCTAATGCTGAATACTTGGCTGATTGTTCAAGATTGCTTTGTGAATATGATGTTAAAATGTTGTTAATATTGCTCAATATTGCACAAATGCAAGCTGGACATTCATATACCCATGTGTCTTAGTATGATTAATGTATTCTAATATGAAGCAATAACTTTTGTTCTGTTTAGTATAAAGAGAAAGGTCATATGCAACTATTTATTCTTAGTTTCCATGTACTATCAGATAGAAAGTCATACATTTGTAAGTGTTTTTCCAAATATACATAATCAACAAGAGGACATAACCAAGTTGTGTTTTATACCACATGTGAGATAAAAATTATATTTCTTATTTATCTCACATACCAATGGTTGATATAGTTGATAGACTGTTTAAAGAAAATTGATTTGATTAATTGATGCTTAATAAATTAGTATCTTTTTTATCATTTAAAGTTCAACTATGAACTTTGTAAATGGGAATTAGGATTGACGATTTAAATATTTTTTTGTGATACAATTGAAACCAATTATTCTTAAAAATAATTAATCAGCAATCCAAAAGTGTGATATTATATTAATATCTTTTCTAGTTTTTTTGTTCCTACGTAAACAGAAATTCAGGAAACAAGTTGCTGTGACCTACTCTATATTTCTAATTAAGATTTGGTATTATTTTTACTGGTATTTACATTGTAATTTATTCAATATTTGCAAGCTACCAAACACCAATGTGTCTCTGAAATTGTTAGAATTTTTTAGAAGTGTTGTTGAAATTTTAATAATGGAGAAGTGTAATTTGATTTGGTATTTTGTAGGTACTTTGGTATGACAAGCTATAACTAGGAATATATCATGTTATTAAATTAAAATATATTAAATAATACCATAAAATTGTTTTCATAGTGCTGAAACTGAATTATTTTAAATGTTTGAGACAGTGATGCTAATAATATGACATAAATTTATCAGAACACAGAAATCTGCATTATTACAGGAATATAAAAGTATTGTTATATATATATATGTATAATATAAAATGGAGTGAATAGATACACAAGGGGTGAATAATGTTTTTCCTAGTGTCTGTTCAACCAGTTTTACCACTATCAATCTGGTATGCAGTTGTTTCTCTTTGGGACAAAAAGCATCCTCTTATGCATTAGTATTCATTTATTCTGTTTATCTTGTATGCATTTCAATTATGCTTTTAGTCATTAATATAGTTGTTATTTATTATGATTCAGTACATGTGCAATATTTCAATAAAATCACATGTGCAAGTGATAAATTGTTTTATTTATAAAACCATAAGTAACATTGTAAAATTGTACCTGCAAATATGCACTTACACATAACAGTAATAAACAAGTTGTACATTTTGATCACACTAAATGCCTCGGAAATTAGCAAGCACGCGTTTTCACAATTATCTGCTTATCATATTATCTAAATAAACAATGTACATTACCGTAAAACGGAGTGAATAGAAGTTGAGGGGTAAATAGATACATGAAAGGGGTGAATAGATGTTGGCGAATTTTCCTTGTATCGATTCACTCCTCTTCCGTGTTTATTCACCCCGTTTTACCGATAACAATAAAAAAAAGTAAATACTACAGGTGGAGCATCAATCATTCAATGCGACACTAATGATGTACTGACAGTGATGCTAGGTAAACAACACAAAACTAATTAATTAAACTACTTAATAAAAGCTATGTAAATAACTTAAATATAAAGTAGGTAAATCATATTTTATATGCATTATTGAAGCTTTTGCAATGAACAATATAGACTAGCATGAGTCATTTAAGATTACACAATGATTTCATTGTTGGGTGTGCCTATGGCCTATCACAGATAAAGCAGTTTTTATTAAATTTTTTATTCCTCAACCACAATGAAATTTTGTGCTCCGCCTGCATAAATTTGTGTAATTTTTTGATCTTTTTCAATTTCTAAAGGCACTAAAGTTGGTTGTACTATTTGATGACCTAAATCAATGGCTGTGTTGAAATGTTCATTCCATCCCCATGCCCAAAGAGTATTGTCTGTTGCTAAACAAATAGTGTGCTCAGAACCTACTGCAACATCTTGTACTTCTCTACCCTCTGAAACAAAAAGCATATTTCATTGTGTATAATAGATTCTAGTAAAGTAATACAAATCAAAGAAAAAATGCAGCTTGTATTGTGTTCATATCTACATTTTCACTAACCTGGAAGCTTTACATGAGTGAATGTTCCTGGTAAAACAGTTTTGTCTGTGCCTAGTTGTCCATTATTATTTCTACCCCAGGCTAAAAGACTTCCATCTTCCAACCATAATAATACATTAGTCCAGCCACTTAATAACTTTTTCACTTCCTGTTTGACATCTATATCAATTTTGTTAGGTGTATATATTTTTCTATATTTTTCAGAACACAGTAATAGTTGGCCATGTTTATTGTCTCCCCATACATATAAAGCTTTCTCATCTGAGCACCAAGCTACAGTATGATTTTGCCCACAGGCTATATGAGATATTTTACCAACACCTTCCACCTTCTGGAATCTGTCAGAAGACAATACACTGTTCCCCAATCCAAGTTGTCCATGCCGGCCACACCCTGTAGTCCATACTTCACCTTTTGAGTTTACTATGGCTGTATGTCTAAGGCCCATAGAAACCAGCACAGCATTAATTGGAAGTCTAATAGGTTTCATAATTTCTGAAAAGTATTCTTTAGGAGTTGATGGTACACCCAATTGTCCATAGGCATTGGATCCCCACACTATTAAAAACTGGTCATCTGTTACTCCACAGCTGAAATCCCAGCCGCCAACAATATTTGTAAAGGTGACACCACTTAATGCCCATGTCCGTTCAAACTTATGTACCTCAGTTTCTCTAGCTAGTTGTAGTTTTGAATTCCAACCACAAGAATAGAGTTTGCCCTCGTTATCCAAAAGGAGTGTATGGCCACCTCCACAAGCAATTTGATTTATTTTACAATGATACAAATGTAATTCAACTCTTGTTGGTTTCTCTATCTGTTCATTTGCAACACCAACACCTAGCTGACCATGTGAGTTAGCACCCTGAAAATATTATAATAAATTCGCTGTGATTGCTTAAAACAAAGACTTATTTGATTATGATAAAAATAATTTTATACATTCATAACTTAATGTTTATAATATTATGTATTGTTTACCCATGTCCACAACGCCATAATGGGCAGTTTCTTGAATTTATTTAAAACTTAAGTACGTTTTCATTAATTTTTTAGCCTGGATTGTAGGTTATGTTTTGATTGTTGTATTTTTGATTTACCATGTTTGACACTTTGACATTGACAGCGGTTTTGGTATGCCAGAGATATCTTTATTTTTTAATAGCTGGGCATTTCCTCAATAAAAATATTAGAGACCGTGTTAGAAAAGCAGTAAAGTAGTTCTAGTAAAAACAAAAAATTATTTTTGTACGGTAGCCAACCAAACATAAGTTGAAAATTGTGAAGCCAATACACAATTACACATACATATGAAAATTGTTTTAACTGGCCTTGGAAAAGGCCAGAGAAGGTATTCTATTTCATGCCAAGTTATAATAAATTATAGAATAAAATTAAATGGTCAGTCGGTTTAATTATGTGGTACCTAAATATTAACCGTATTGTACAAGAAAAAACATTTACCAAAGCAAGTAAGTATTACTATTATATTAATATTACGACCCTGGATTTGTACATAGCTTGAAATTGAGTTGTCATTGATGTAACATCAAAGTTACATCAACATCACATTATATTTGTGTTTTATATTAGCTCGATTCTAAGTAAGATTTGGTCAAATAGCATGTCAGTTAATGAAATTAGTAAATTAGACTATCTAGAAAAACAATAATTTATATAACATCAAAAAAGTTGGTTCATTTCGACAAATTGATCAGTTTCAAACAGTAACGTAAACAACGGCTTATTGGTGAAAACGTTTAGGTATTCACATACACAGTTATCATTCTCAGACCGTTATGCACTGCACTTCAACTTTTTTACCCCTTTGATTTGCTTTATTCAAGTCTTTAGAGGTAGAAACAAATTTTAACTTAATCTTTTTTCATGAATTCAGATTTTCCATTATATAAAAAGTACTTTGTGATTCAGATTCAGCTGGTTTCATGTTAAAATAATTAGTGTTGTGGTGTGACTACAAGACAAGAATGAGATGGTATCTCGGAGATACCATGTTGCTTGACACAAGAATAAGCAACGATAAGGTTATAAAATATAATTATCTCTCTCTACGCGTCTGTAGTACCTATGCAGAAATTATTCTAAAAGTTAAAAAAATGTCTTAGTTCCGATTGTCAGAGACATTTCAATACTTTTTCCAAAGATGCTGCTGAGCGATACCCGCGTAATCGGAGTAACTGTACCTACCAAAGAATTAGATAAACTTATTTTACACTAGCTACTCCCGCGCGGTTTCACACGCTGCTCGGCTCCATTTAATCGTAGCGTGATGTTTTATAGCCTATAGCACTCAGGAACATTGTAGCTATCTATCAGTGAAAGAATTTTGGCAATCCGATCAGCGGTTCCAAATATTACCCCTACATACAAACTTACAAAATTTACCTCTTTATAATATTAGTATAGATTAAATTTTAAATCACCATTTTTTCGCCGAATATTTTGATGTTATTCTTACGTAAGTAGATATCATTAAGGAGGTTTTATTCGAACATATCGTGCTTTCTAGCCATGTGATTAATCACGTCTCATCCGCATCTGTTGAGTTGCAAATTTTCTGCTTGTTTGTGGGATTTGTTGAGAATTTGAGTTTGAAACTTGGGAAACTTTATTTCGTAAATAACACATTGTAATAAACAAGTAGGTAAACAAAATTATTCTTATCTCACATAATTATTCAATGCATTCACAAACTTTGAAATTGGATTTTGCGCACGTTGTCTTAAAGCCCATAACTTACCTAATACCTACAATGAAAACTTAATATGAGTTATCTAAATAATTATGCATTTTGTACGTTTACCACTTATGCTTATAAATTTATGTTGCCCTGCTACACATAACCATAACAGTCACTACCTAACAGTAGGTATAACTATTACATAGGGAGGTATCTGCAAACATAGGTAAATTCGATGAAGCATTGCTTTTTAGCAATGGCTAAGGTATTCTGATTTTTATATCTTAACTTTCGGTAGGATTGATTTCTGTCATCTATATAATTAGGGCCGGATGGCGATTAGCAATACCTATTGAGAGATGATGACAAGATGGAAATTGATAGAGCTGGTTGAAGAAAAACTTCTTCAACCAACACCCGATTAAATGCAAGGCATCCTTTATATATTTTTGCAATTCTTCTAACATACAAGCAGTATAGAATTTTCGTTTAAAATTAAAAATAACTTAGTGGTCTGGGGCCCTCGAAAATCCTTTTGCCTATTCTACCTTTTGAGATTAACCAATAGGAAGAATAGGCTAGTTTTCCTCATTGAAGTTTCTGGCAAAAAATTGGTTATTTCCGTGGTTATTTCAGCCAGAGATTTTTAGCTAGGTGTTAGGTAAAAAAAAAAATAAACAAGACTAAATAGGTAGGTAACGTATTGTAAGTATCTACATGATAACGTACCTGAACCCATTGCTGCAGAACTTTGAATTTCGAATTTGTATGATAGCCTAACTTCACACATTCAAAAAGTTTGAGAGGAAAAGTTGAGTTTTCTAGATAAGTCTTTGATTTTGTTTATTCTTTTATAGGTTAAAGTTGGTACGGGTTGCGACCTCGTAAGCTGCTTTGTGATACTTTTACTTGTACCTGAATCCAATAAAGCGCATTGCTTGTTTACACACGGCCCCGTGTAAGTTTATAGACTTTTATATGTACTAAGTAAAGAAAAATCTTACAATATTAAAAGAGAAGAAGAGTCTTTCAGGTACCTAACTGGTACTTTTTTTATGTGATAGGTGGGCAAACGAGCAAACGGATTACCTAATGGTAAGCAATCAGCGTTGCCCATGGACACCCGCAACGACGGAGGAGATACAAGTGCGTTGTCGACCTTTTGGGGATTAGGGATTTGGAGATTTTGGGAAAGGGAACGGATTGGGGTAGGGGAAGTTTGGGCCTCCGGTAACCCCACTCACATGGCGAAACACAACTCTTTGGTTATTTCACGCCGGTTTTCTGTTAGACCGTGGTGTCACTCCGGTCGAGCCGACCCATTCGTGCCAAAGCATGGCTCTCCCACAATTCCTTCATGGCTCTTCCACACCTAAAAGTTAAAGATACGATTATTTAATACTTTCTTTTGATTGAACAGGTTTGTGTGTGATGTTGCGAAGTTTATTAATTACCTACTCATTTGCACACTTCAGTATTTTAGTGTCAAACTAAAGATCTAAAGAATTCTAGCTGGGGTTGACTATGCAAGCGCAATGACGTACTGCGGCCCGGGTCGGAGTATCAGAAGGGTGGGTAAGGTTTCTGGGAGTAAGAGTGTGACACTCACCCTTGCTCCACTCAGAGAAGTCATTGGGTGATTTCCAAATCTCGGAAAAGACCTCAAGATTCCAATGTTTTTATAAGCAAATTTAAAATTTTGTGGATTATGGAACGAAACTTTAGCTTTTTCATTTGAAAGGAACTAAAGTGTATTTTCAAAAACAAAAGTAGGTAGGTAGTTATCTAACTAGGTTCCCTTAATTTATTTCGTGAAGCAACCATTTATCATACGTTGTTTATATACATTGATAAACCTAACAAATTCCGAATCGACGTCAGAAATAATAAAACTTGTTAACTCTTCTTGGGAAACGGACTTAATTGCAACTATCAAATTTCTCTAGAAACTCGAAATATCATTAAATGTGCCCTTGGGCGTTTTGTTTAGTTACCTACATAAAACTAGTGACCGTAACGAATTTCGTGTGACGTAGTAATATGGCGGACGGAAAATGTAATATACCGGTTACCGGGCAGTCATCAGCCGATATGTAGGCAACACTGTTATTTAATCAGCCCGAGGACCGTGTGCTACCGTACTGGATGCATTTTTCATTGCACGTACCGACGCTGCAGTGAACAAATTGTTAATAAAATTGCGTCCCTCCACTTTTATGAGATTGATGTAAAATTCCTCGTGTTTTTTGTATGGTCTTTTCTACGTTACTGTATGACGCCGTACACAGATAATAATTGCAAAGGGACACAAAACTTTTAAATTAATAACGATGGTTTTTATGTCTGTTTTTTAGTTTTATTCCTTTCATAGACTTTTTCTATTCATATTATTTTTTGTTTTGGAATTAAATACAAAAAAAAATAATCAACAAAAACAATCTCTTAATAAGACAATTATCGTTGTAAGATTAATAAAATATTTTCGTAACAATGGCTTCGGCTTACTGACAAGTTTATCTGATGTGTTGGAATACTAAAGAGGTTGGTTTGACGTAGACGGTTTAGTCCCAGATCTCGGCATTGCCCTCCTGCGGTCCATTTGGTTTCAGATTATCCCTTATGTGGATAATTTGTACGCGCTGTGTTTGTGGAGGGCTTGTGGTCCTTCTCTACCATTAATTAACATAACCACCTCGACTCCTTCTAAATTTATATAGGTGTATTGACATCGGACGGGATTAAGGAGGCCCTTTTATTGACCTTATTACTCTTTCCACTGGATTTTGTTAAGTCAGCGGTAAGCTGGTCACAAAATTCGATAAGACTGTTTTATTAATGACTAGCTACTCTCGCGCGGTTTCACCCGCTGCTCGGCTCCATTTAATTGTAGCGTGATGTTTTATAGCCTATAACACTCAGGAATATTGTAGTTATCTATCAGTGAAAGAATCTTGGAAATCCGACCAGCGGTTCCAAAGATTACCCCCTACATACAAACTTACAAATTTTAACTCTTTATAATATTAGTATAGACTAGCTTCTGTCAACGGCTTCGCTTGCTTACTCGGATGAAATGTGCCAAAATGTGAAACCAAATGCCTGTGTATAATGAGTCACCGCGGCCTAGGCCCAGAGAAGGAGCAGGAACGGTTCAGTAAGAGTCTGACTCTCTCTCTCGCCTAACCTTGGGCGGGAGAAGTCATTTGATAATATTCCCCTGATAAAACAAAAATGCCTATGTGTTATTGCAGACTATATACTTATGGTCTATTTCTGTACTACATATATTCATTAATATCGATTTTGTAACAAAGATCCTTCCATACTTATAAACTCTTGCATTTGCAATAACTGTTAGTAGGATATTTTTAACAACTTTTTGGACGTTTAGTGGTCTACCTCAATATTCGAAGTAGTGAACAGTTTGAAACTAAAAACTT